AATCATTAAAATTAAAGTATTCATAACCTGAGCACGTCCTTCTCAAGCAATTGCTTTCTTGAGTAATCAGTTAAGTGATTGATGCTTGCTTGCCTCTATCGTCTCATCGTCTGTATGAGGACTTCAGTTATTTTCTCTGTTCTTAATGTGGGTTTTCCCACCCAAGCAATGGAAATAGAAAATATTATGGCTCAAATAAACTCCTTGGATCTCATCACACTCTCAAACTTTTTTTGTTTTCCAAAAATATTTTTGGGAGCACCCTGCTGTGAGCCAGGCACTATACTAGGAACTAAGCAGGAACTAGTGGCATGAACTTATAGGTGAGGTTGGGTAGTGTCTCCGTGCTTTCCTCCACATGACTTGGTACTATCCACATGACCCATAGCATACAGGATACCCTGGAAGTGCCCAAGGAATCATGTATAATGGATATCCCCAATTACAACAGTTTTTTTTTTTTTAAGACTAACTATGGGTAAGAAAAGGGAGCATATTATAGGGGATTTTTAGGGAACTGAGATGGGAATATGATTGGGAAGACCATGCTCTAAAAATGTGAGGTCCAGGATGCGTTGGCAAATTTGTTGCCACAAAGAAGGCCAGAGTGATCTGGGAATGTAGTTCAGTAACAGAGCACTTTCGGAGCATTCCTGGATTTATTCTCCAGCCAAGAACAGGACAGAGAAGCAGAAGCAAGCTCAACGATACAGGGATGGTTCAGCAACTCTTCAGAGGTTTTGATAGGTCAAAAAACTTGCCATTTTTCTATATACTAATGAAAAGATTGGGATGGTGCATCGAGTCTGGAGACTGGTTCTGGGATTGGGGATGGCAGGAAGGCCGCTCAGCATGGATGTTATATCTTGGATGGTACAGAACGTCCCTCATGGGAACTTGAGGGAGGACAGTGATGCGAATACTCATCATCACTCAGTAGTTGTTATTTTACTGGGTTTCTAACTGGAAGATCATTATCCAAATTCAAAAAATGTACACTCAAGCCAAAAATGTTAAAAAATGTTAATATTTTGTTTGTCTGAGTAACTATTTATTAAAAGCACTCAGATGTTAAGCTATACATTTTTGTTTCCCAAAATTAATGATAGCAAAACCAAGTGTTACACATGAGCACACTTGGAAAAGAAGCTGGTACAAGCAGTGGCCCATGCACGAGTGGGCTCTGATTTCAGCACCTTCTATTGAATGTACAGCTTAGTACTGAGTACAACATCAAGTATTCAATCATATTCCAAGATTGAGTACAGTTTAATTGTATGTAGCTTTACATTGAATTGTGTATGCCAAAAAAATTAAAGATTAATCACTTCTTCATGTAAACTGATAAAAAATAACAAATATATTCGTGGATAAGTAAAGTCTTATTCTTTCTATTATGAAAATCAGAAAATGTTTAAATGATTAATAGCTAGACTTTAATCATGTGACATTCAATGAGTTAACTGAAATACTTTTATCTCTGTAATGAAGTTTAATTCTAAGGAATGAATACTTTACATTAAACTGTTTAAAAAATTATAACTTTGAGGTCTGCAGAGATGGCTCAGCAATGGAAATTACTTGATGTTCTTGCAGAGAACCCAGGTTCTGGTCTCAGTATCTGTAGAGTGGCTCACAACCTTCTGTAATTCCAGTTCTAAGGCATCAGACTCTGCAAGGAGTATGGTTGACATCTCCCATCAAGACTCCCTCTTCAAAGACACCAAGCATGCTTGTGATGCATGTACATCCATGCAGGAAAAACACTCACACACATAAAGTAAAATAAAAAAGAAAATAAACCTTCAAAATTCCATTCATTATTGAGTAGTATTCAATTTCTTTATCCATTTTCTCATTAATAGACCTTCTGATTGATTTCATATTTTGCTAAGAGGAATAAAATTTGCTAGGACCATTACTATCTACATTTTCCTATGGACGTATGTTTTAATTTCTCCCAGCTGAATACCTAGATATTGAAATGCTAATGCTGAGGTAAGATGAATATTTCATTTTATTAGCAGCTTTCTGAATGGCACATGCTTTCTACTTTATATTTAATTTATTGGTGTATTTAGGTGACATAGTATGTTTCTTATAGACAACATGTATATGCATCTTTCCTTTTATTAAATTATAGTTTCTTTCAAAAGAATTGTTTAACTTATTTGTAGTTGACCTAATTATGACTTCATTAAGTTCCATTTAATACTAGTATACTAGTATTTGATACTTGTTCTCTGTTTCCTATCAACTATTTGTTCTAGTATTCATCCATGCCTCTCTTCTTTGGGGTACTTATATATTGCATTAGCAAATATTCATAGTCCACATTTGCTATCCAATTTTATGTACTTTATTGACTTTTTAGCAGTACTTATTTGTATGTATGTCTGTCTGCATGGCTTAGTGGTAAATGCAAGACATGCATACTTACCACAACATCACTTTAAAATAAGATTATTCTAAAGAACAATCTACAAATTATATAGGAATAGAATGTCACTTAGTGTAGTATGATGTTTTACTCTTTGGGCTTTTTGAGAGACCCACCACCCAGCTCTTAAATAAATCACACACGGAGGCTTATTCTTAGTTATAAATTCCTGACCTTGACTTGTTTCTTGCCAGCTTTTCTTAACTTAAATTACCCTGAATACCTTTTGCCTCTGGGCTTTTTCCTTTTCCTACTTCTGCATATTTTACGTTCACCCTCCATGGCTGAATGGGTGACTGGCCCCTGATGTCATATATCCTTGCTCCTCCTCTTCTTCCTTTCTCCTTCTATTTATATTTTCTACCTGCCAGCCATGCCTATCATTGCTCCTACCTTGCTATTGGTTGTTCAGCTCTTTATTAGGCCATCAGGTGTTTTAGACAGGCAAAAAAATCACAGCCTAACAGAGTTAAACAAATGCAGCATAAACAAAAGCAACACATCTTTACATCATTAAGCAAATGTTCGACGGCATAAACAAAAGTGACACACCTTAAAATAACATTCTCCAACAACTTAGTCTATGTTCCATTTCATCAAATATTTTAATTATCTGTTTCTTATAAATCCCCAGGCCCAAGAGACTCAAATTCTAGTAAGAAAAGTTCAATGAAATGGCATGGGTGTTGGTTTTCTCCCTGACCCCTACCATCTTGCAATCAGTGTAGGCTTGAAGATGGCGAGGCAAAGCAAAGAACTGTCCTGAGATTAAAAGTAAGGAATCTTGTCAGTTGCCTGATCCCAGAGAGATTGAAAATGGAATTAAAACATGGATGGGCTTCAGATAAAATGCTCAGACATTCGGGTGAACCTCAAAAGGTCAACAGCCTGCTTGAGATGAAACTGTATCTACACCTGCCTGGCAAGGACTGAAAATCAGTGATGGCTAGCTTCAGTCCTTGGGTTCAAATAAGCCATGCTTATGGTGATTAGCTGAAGTCAGCCCCTAAGGAAGACTAGCATTTTCTAGAAATGAAGCCCTGTCATTTTTACAAACATTTTTCATAACTCACTAAACAATTAACATGTTTCTATTAAAACCATGGGATGGGGGTGGGTAGAGGCAGGAGAAATTGTGGACAGATCTGGGTACTGATCTAGAGATGGACTGAATAGTCACTGTGAGTAGCACATGAAGGATGGAGGGCAAGAGTAGTAAGAGATCACCCGGAAAAATTAAAGTTTACACCAAAATTATACCATAGAAATGATAGCATTTATAATGAATATCTGAAATCAAGAAGACAATAGAGGCCATCCTCAAATCCACCAGAAACTAAAATTAAAATTACTTAAGTGCAATGGCAATGTTGTGACAGTGACCATGTCAGGCAGCAAAACATTCCTGGGTGGTTAATGGTTACTTAAGGCACATAACCACTTTGAAAAAAAAGGTAGAGCAATTTCTTAGAACTTTGTTCACAGTGGTTCAAAACAGGAATTTAGTTGTCTGTGAATAAAATAGATAAAAACTAATCTGTGAAATGTTTATGTAGCATTCAATAGTACTAGTAATAAACTGTTAATATGAGTTCAGCTGTGTCCTCTAAGCTGAGATAGGGAGGTTCCATTCATAGTACAACAAAATGTGGCCTGGATTAGAAATATAGTCGTTAAGACACAATCAATTTATAATTGCAGAGTGACTCCTTGGCCGTTAAAATTGATGTCTCTATAAAAGGTAGAAATCAGGCCTTGGCTCAAATCCCAGTACTAAACAGAAAAAAAGAAACAGCAAACAAACAAACAAACAAAAAAACACCAGCAGCAACAGCAATAAGAAAGCAGGGGGAAAAAAGCAGCAGAAATGTGGACAAAGAGATAGACATAGAGGAAACGGAAACTAGGAGGCAGGAAGTAAACTACAATGCAACTGTGCAAACCAAGTAATGCCAAGGGTGATGGCAAACACCAGAAGCTACGAGAGAGAGGATTCCACTTGATTTTCAGCTTCTGCCTCTGTTCTGAAAGACGACTTTCTAATGTTTTTTAAACTTGCATGTCCCAGCTATAATATTTTGTTTTAAGCACCCTGAGAATCCAAGGTAGCTTCCTAGGTGTTTAATAACACAAATCAATTTCAAAAGCATAACGTTGAGTAAAAATGTCTCCTGGTGGAAAAATGTCCATGATTAATTTACTTTATAAGAAGCCTAGAACAGCAATATATACACAAGTTTGCATTTTCCAAGTCGTACAAATGATTATGTATTTTATATTCTCCACTAACAATAAACTCTGTAAAAGAAATATTGAACTCCAGATAATGATACTGAAGTATGTAGGGGGAAGTGATTTGATGCTAGAACTATAATTGGAAATGCATCAAAAATTAAGAGTGACAAATGATAAGAAATATGGGTACCTGATAATACAGATATAAATATTATAAAAATTACTGGTGGGATCTAGTTGGTAGATGTATAGGTGTATGTAAAATTATTTCCACTTATATCTATCTGAGTATTTTCATTGTTAAATACAGAGCATAAAAGAATATATACTTACCTGGCAAGGGAGGTACCATGATCATGGGGGTGGTTTTTTCCAAGGCGGGGCTTATCCCTTGCACTCCAGATCTGCTGATTCCTGTGATTTCTCCAAATGCTGGAAACTCATCTGCATAATTGGGGGGACTGTGTTCACCCCCTCCCCTGGGGGAAAAATGTAAGACAGATACTTAGAAGCAAATTAGACATGACTGAAAAAGAAGTTTGGTCAACCTAAAGTATAGAGTTGAAGAAAGAATAAAAAGTATAGAAAGGAGGCTGGTTATGGTGGTACACACATCTAATTCCAGCACTCAGGATCCAGAGGCAGGTACATCTCTGAGATCAAGGCCAGCCTGGTGTACAGAGGTGTGTGTGTGTGTGTGTGTGTGTGTCTTTCTAAAATGTTTCTCTGGCTGGCCTAGAACTCACTATGTACACCAACATGGCTTCACGCTTACAGTAAAACCCTCTTGTCTACCTCCCAAGTGCAGGGATTGCAGGCATACAACATCACATCTGGGTCCAGATGCACTTTTTAAAAAGAAGATAGACAAGGATACTGCAAGACAGATGAAATACTTTATATACAAAGTTAATTCAACCAATTGTGGACAGGATAAATAAAAGTCTAAGTAGGTGCAATTAAACTGTTGAAAATAAAGGCAAAAAGAACTCAAAGCATTTAGCAAAGCTGAACTAACTTCTCAACAGAGGGAAAGAAATGAAAAACCAACAGAAATACACCTCCAAAGTGAGATGCATGACTATTGCTAGGTTTCTGTTATGTGTGAGCCCCTGGGGCAAGCCCTGTCCAAGCATCACCCCAGATATTCTCTACACTTCCCAAATGAGATAAAATTCAAATCTCTTTAGGAAAAGGAGGCTTGGAAAGAATTGTTTGCATAAAATCAAACAGCTGATCATTTGATAAAGATCTAAACTTCACATGTAAGTCTCTAAACAGAGTTGTCCTATATACCTTGTCTGCTGTCCCCTCCATTTCTATGTGTTCAGCGAGCTATGAGTCCCAGCGTTCCCAGTTTGACATACCACTTGCCAAGTCTCTTACACATGACAATGTCTTTGGGTTATACTGGAAAGGGAAAGAGAGGCACCTGTGATAGAGCACTGGCGACTAATATTGAATAACAAGAATACAGATCACAATGGTATAGATATGAGAGCAGTGACTGCAGATAGAATCCATGTAATTAGCCTCTTTCCCCAATACATGCCAATCATCTACTCTCCATCTTGACACTGTAGTGCAGGATGGGAATGCTTCTGTCTGCCTTGTTAGCGCCATATTCTAAAGTATATATCACTGTAGGAAATTGACAAGGTGACGAGCTGTCACTTTAGCTAAAAGAATATCATACTTTTAATGAATATTATTTCCTAAGGAAATGTGCTGATGACAGCTACTTTTGGTGGAAACAGAGTGCATGTGACCTTTTGTTAGACAACAAACACTACGTCAGCAGTGATGATTCTCAAATTCTGTACCAGATGCTAAAACATGTCCTAAAAAATAACGTCTAAGGACAAGTACATAAGGCCCGGTAAACTATTTTAGTAGACTGTGTTAACATAAACATCGTGGGATTGTTTATGAGTGATAAAGCAGGCATTAATAGCCCAATAATATTTTGCTTTTTATACAGTTTTTCTTTAAATCTGTGTTATTTTAATAAAATAAATAATATGTGTTTATTTAAATAAAACTAAATTTTATTGGTATCCTTGAGGAAAAGTATTTGAATATGGCTCCTTAGGAGCATCTATGTTATGAATAATAAATTATTTTCTGACACTAGCTTAGGGCTTTAATATTCCAGGATTTTATATTAGATGAAAATAAATATTAATTGGAATACTATTTATATTTTTTAACTTCTTTCATATAGTTGCTTAAATAAGCAAATATTTATTTCTTGATAGACTTGAAAAGGTGTCTTATTATATCTTATTATATAAAAGTAGGGAATATAATTTATTTGGCACCTTTTTCTTTTTCTTCATATCTAAGTAGCGTAAGTCTTGACCAAGTAGTCCTGGTTACTATATCAATTTGACATCTGAGTGGATAGTCTCAAATGAGGAATTGGCTAGATCATGCTGATCTTGAGCATGTCTGTGGGAGGTTTTCCTGATTGTGGATTGATATGGGAAGGCCTAGCCTGTGTGGGTAGCACCATCACAAGGCAGGTGATCCTCGACTATAGAAGAAAGTTAGCTGAGTATAAGTTGGCCCATAAGCCCCCAAGAAACATCCCTCTGTGACTTCTACTGTGCTCTTTTTGCTGTGAGTTCCATGGTCAGAGGTAAAGCCCTGTGGAGCAGCAAGCAGGCCAGCCTCCAAGTTCCTGACTGAGCTCCTGCCCTCACCTCCCTTAATGATGGGCTATAACCTGAACAGCTAAGGCAAATAAATCCTTTTTTCCTCTAAGCTACCTTTGGTCACAGCGTTTTATCACAGCAACAGAAATGAAACCAGAACCCAAATTTCCTGGAAGTTCTTGACATAATCTATTCCACATTTAAAAATCATTTGCTTCAAATTTGTGTGTTTGTATAATTATATATATGTATATATATATATATATATGTTGCATTATATATATGAACACATATGTTCATGCATACCTATCTATAAACATATATATATTTGTATACTGATGCATAAATTTATACATATTCAGACATATATGTTCATACACACCTGTCTATAAATATATATACATTTGTAGACCTATGCATCAATTCATATGTAAAAATACACACCTGTGTGTCTCTAGAATATTTCATGATCGAGCCGAAAGTCACAACTTGCTTGCATATTTTTTGTTTCTCCCAGGTGTCATGTTAGTAGAGTAACACACATAGTGACTGGCTATACCATTTCCCCCAGGTTCTCACAGTACCCTCCAACAGGAGCACTATTGGAATTATTATTCCTATTTGAGGTTGAGATGGGGTGTTGTGCATGCCGAATCATGCTCCTCCCTATAGGTGAGCTATAGTTGTTGCTTTCTCCTTTAATATATTTTACATTTTTCTTCACTTTGTCCAATAGGCAAAACTGACTACAAAGTTTTTCCTAAATCTCATCTCAAATTATTATCTAAAACAACCAAAATTCAAATAAGTTGCAGAAGAAAGCTTAATAACATATAACTTATTATACTTTAAGGGCATCCCTTGGAGCTACAATGATAAATTAAATTATATTACATTCCTCAATAAAGAGGAAACTATGTTCTCAAAAAGCACATAAAATTATTTCTAAAATTAAAAATTCAGAAGTTAGGCTTAAATGAATGCCATCAATTAATTTTTATAAAAGAACTAGAGATATTTTGAAAAAAAGTTCAATTATGTCCAAAATGAAAATTATATAAATAACTTTATATTATTGAGAAAAATTATTATGATCTGAGAGATAGACCTAGCAGGCTTTTCAGTCTTCAATTAAAAATATCAATCCTCTAGTGTCACTCCTAAATCATTAACCACAAAGGAGCAGAGCTCAGAGAAGACTTCTAGAGACTTAATGGTAACTGATGAAGGATGCTCTTTGCTGTTTGTGGTTCTTCAGAGATAATGAGATTTGAACAAAATACCATCTTAATGAAACAGTTAAGTTTTTCAAAATGCAAGGTACCATCTTGTCCATTGACCCTGATGGAACTTTAACAAGGTACCTCCCATATGCAATAGACCTTCCTGGACTTCAGATGCAATGCCACAGCCTCTCAGTAAGGTTCTTCTTGCTCAATTCTTTACAATGTGAATGAGTAGAGAGCTGCCTCTGTGTTCCCAGGTGTTGCCAGAGAATCCACAAAGAGTCATATCCATCCCTGACTGCTCTATGACCATCTGGCCAGTAATGCAAAAAGAAAACCGCAGCCTTTTCTCATTTTCACTTTTACTATTTTTTCTGGAAGGTGTTTAGAAGGAAGTCAACTAGAAGGTACTTCTGTGTCCCTGGACATTCTGCTCACTCTGCCTGTGTTTTCGCTCACCCCAAAAGCATTTGCCACTCACTGCACATTGAACTAATGTAAGCAGCTAGAAACACGGGGGCCTTGTGGGAAACTTTTATGAGTGAGCTGTAAGTGGCCAACTCATTTGTTCCAATCTTCTCAATGGTGCAGATGGTCTGCAGAATCCCAAATACCATAATCGACCTGAAACAAGATGAAATGGACCATTTTCTGTGTAGTTTCACTTTTTATATATAGAGATGGGGGTGGTGGTGGAAGAATTTGCTGAAATGTGATAGTTGTAATAACAGAGCCGAGGAGAGGGGGGAAATCAAAACATGGCTGCACAGCGATGGCATCCCATTACACTCCCAGTACCACACAAATTGGTCCCAGCAGTTTTCTCTTTAATTCAGGATTTATGGAAACATCTGAGATTATAAAATTAACTGAACAAAAACAGATGTTATAATTGTGAGGGGGCCCAATTCTTGGATGAATACCAGAGCTAAACATTAGTATATGGAGTGGAAACATTTTAATTCGGATTCCTATCTATCAGTTTACAAGCTGGTGTAAATATTCTACATGAAGATAACCATCTAAACAGCTTGGAGAAATGAAATTATGTTCACATGAGTGGCTCATTTCTCTCCCTTTCAAAAGGAAGGCAATGACTATTAAAATGACAATTTCCTGGTTTCTTAATTAATAATATACAATCCCCCACCTATATTCACAACTCTGAGGAAAGAGGCATATGTCAGATTTCCCTTCCACATTGGCCTTCCATGTTACTCTGGGGTGATTGAGAATAACTCTGTTGTCCTCTCATTTGCATATTTATTGTGAAGGAGCAGTTCTGGGCAGCCCTTAGCTTTTGGTCAGAGGTGACTCCAAGTGAAAAGATGAAATGACACTTTCATTGGAAGGAGCTATCTAAAGGTATGAGAAAGCATCTTTCCCCACTAGACTGAAGCCAGACATTGTAAAATCCTGGAAATTACCCCAGGGAGAAAAACAAACAAACAAAAAAATCCACTAAAAAAGAAGTTTTCTAGATATATTTCCTCCCAAAGGCTGGGTGTGGTTGTGCAGGTGATGGACTTTTTATCATGCCTTTCCACAGAGTGTTTAAAAGTATGACAGAAATGAAAGACTTAGGATCAGCTAAATAGT